TCTATCCCCCACATGGTTGCCTTTAGGATACTTATTGTTGAGGAAGCCCCTCTGCAGTAATGTCCATCCCGATGAAAAATCCTGAAATAGGTTCCTTATAATAGACGTTATTTTTAGGAACGTAAGGTGAGGATAACGGGAATGGGTAATCGGGTTTATTGTTGATTGTTGAAATTAAATATAATTATTGTGGGTTGAAAACCCTATTTGCTCACCAGGCTCCCAAGCCTGACCCACTCAGTTGATTTATTTTACAGGAAGTGGCGCAAGAGCTTAAGATGGGCGAACATCAAGTTGTTTTGTTTACAAGTCTGTATATGTATATATTTGTTGAATGACTTGTAATGCTATCGTTTATGCTTTATGATCTGTATCGGAACATGACATCCCGACTTTTGATTATGAAATGAAATCATATTTCTTTATGAAATGTTTTGATAAATATCTATTTTATCATGTTTTGTTTTTGGGAACAAATTCCGCATCTCTTTTAAAATTAAAAGGATTTACTCTGAAAATTATTTTAAAAATCATAAATGAAATCGGTCTTTTCTGGCCGAGATTTTGGGGATGTCACACATGAATTGTTACTTTGCCTTCATATCTCACAACTTGTACACCCTGAATATTTACAATTTTGACTTTAATCTACAGTTCTACAACAACTCTTCAATTTTTGCTTACCTTGAACTTAAACTACAACTTTCCAGTTATGCCTCTCCCTTTCAAACTCTTTAACCATTTGGCCATTTTGACTATCCTCTTTTCAAATGGTTAGGAAGAAAAGTTTATATGAATAATAATAGTCTACTTATGTTACTTTACACATAGAAGCAAATACTTAAATCTACAAATTTTTAGCTGTAACATATGGTGCTATTTTCAAAAAATAGGTTAAAGATACTTAAATTAACCAAAAAAATTACGCTTACTTATAATTTAATAAAGCTACAAAAATTATAAAGTTGCCTCACTGACACTCGTAATCCTTAATTTTGAAAAAATTTTCTTTAGTTGCTTAATTATATTCAGCGAATTCTCTGTTACACATTGTACTTACTATGACACCTCTGCGGTAAAGCAAGTAAGGAATCGAAATTAGTTTCTCTATAAACTTCTAATTTTGAGTAATGGAATGAAGGACAAATCAACATTTAATGGAAAGGTTTAAGAGAAGTTTTTGAAAATTTTGATAATAGAGTGACATATGTTTTCTTTATGGTGTCAGTTGCTTTGTCCCTTATTACAGGAATGTTGTCAGGCTACAAACAGACATTAATTATAGCATATTAAATAATCTAGATAATAGTAATAGTAATAATAATTTACTTACATTTGGGCCAATGAATTTGAATCCATGTCTTCTACATATCCCAACAAAAACAACATTATGAGCAAGGAAACCATAACCAAGATGCAACATTGTACATCCATGACTGATAGCAGCAGACAGTACATTGGGTATCTACAAGTACCTGATCACAAAAACTAAGAATTAAACTTTCCAATTTTTCAATGTGAGAAAGAATAAAGATATATTAGGTTGACTTACGATTGATTACTGGTAGCTTCCCATGAAGTGCAAACCGACTCATCCGGTAGTTTCACATGAAGTGCATCCTTATCAATGGTGGAGTAGACTGCAACACAGGGAATCCCCATCTCATGAGAAGTTCTAATCACTCTTACTGCAATTTCCCCTCTGTTTTCTATCAAGATCTTTTCCGCACGACATGTGGCACCAAGTGATCCTTCATGTTTCCCTGATTTACGAGTCTTTTGAGATGCTTGAACTCTTTGTCTAGGAAAATTCAACTTGTTTCCCACTGAGAAACTATATTGGGAGCTCTTGATTCTACTAGACCTCCAAATGAATAAACCTTAGCATCAAATAGTTCTAATCAGGAATATATTATATATACATATAAATGAAATTAGAATTTGGGGGCTAGGGTTAGGGTTAGGGCTAGCAGCCATGAAGTATAGCAAACTGATTATTGTTCAGAACATGTTCATTTAACAATCGTCAAACATAGTCAATAATTTTTTCTTTGAATTATATTGAAATGGAACTATAAATGATGAAATGAGATAGAAATTTCCACCTACACCATTAATCAAAGCGGTTTTTGAACATCATTTAAGAAAAACACTCATGCATAGCCAAATTAATTCCAATAGCATCTAGAAAAGAACTTTGCAATCCAAGGCCGAAATTCATCAAATTACTACCATAGATCGCTTGCATCAACCGTCAGCATCGTTGATTTACAGGCACAGTGACCACACGACAACCATTGAATCCAACGAAATAAAAGATAAAATGATCCCATACAATTCTACACTTATCTAATATCCCAATATTCGAAAGCATACAGACAGTGATACAATTTTGAATACCGAAGGGGAGGTGATTGGTTTACTGCAAAATGTCATGGTGGCGTAATCCATTTCGTATATAAAGTACTGCAAAAGGAACAAACAAGATCAGGATTGTATTGACAACAACATGAATACAACATTTATAGATTTGTCAGCATGTAACAGCGAAGAGCAAACAACTACACTTGAAAGTAAGATCCAACTTGTTAGTGAGGAAATCGGAATCAAAATGAAGAAGGAATGTACCTATCTCTTTAGACAAACACACAGACCAGAAAACAAAGGTGAACACAACTGCAAAATAAAGGAAACCTGAGAAAATATGGAACAAAGATAGACATGATCGGAGATATAATGCGTTCCAATCGGCAATATAGACTGGGAGTTGGTGGCAGACCTGATGGTTCTCTCTTGATATTGATGAGATGAAGAAGAACAATCGTAGTCATGAAGTATATGGGGTATTGAATAAAGGACACACAACATAGGTTAAGTAAAGGTAGGCGGTGGAAAGAAGACTCGTGGCAAGCATCTACGAAGAGGCGAAAGATTTGTGGAAGGTAGAAGAAGGTATGGCGGTGTGATGCATCCAAAGAGTGCATAGAAAAAGGTGGCAGTAGTCAAAGGTGGTGGAGTTAAAGGCTATGGAGAGGAAGTTTTAAGAGGTTAAAGTGGCAAAAGTCTGAAAAACGGAAAAGTTTGGTGGTCAAAATCAGAAAGGGAGAAAATATATTGTACCTAAGGCTCTCGGAAATTAATGTTATATATGTAATATAATGTGTATGAAAATAATAATAAAAATAATGATAATAATAAGCAAGAAGATATTTGATTTCCCTGTAAATAATTATTCATTTAATTCATTCGGTATTACTTGATTCACTTCTTGTTAGTCATTCAACACTTTGCTTCGAGGGACAACTTTTGGCAAAAAGTCGATTTTTTAGTTTATTTAATAAATATTTATGCCATCAAATTTGTTTCGAACAAAATTGATGTTTTAATTATTAAAAAAATGTTTATATTTTTACGGCTTCCCTAAAAGTTTTCAACTGTTCAGAAAATAATTTTAAAACACACATTTATTCATGAATAAAATAGTTTAAATTAAAATAAACAAAAGAAATTAAAATTTTGTGCTAATAAGTGTATAAAGATAAGAAGAAATTAAAAAATTGATGTTAATTTTTTGGGAAACTCAATCGTTTATTTTCGACGAACAACTTTCAGCAAAAAGTCGTTTTTTTAGTTTTTTAAAGAAAATTTATGCCGTCAAATTTGTATGGTAGAAAATCGATATTTTAATTAATTTAAAAAAGTGTAAATTTGTGTGTCGACCGTAAAAGTCTTGAATTTTTCAAAAAAATAGTTTTAAAAAAGACGTTTATAAATGATTAAAAAAGTTTAGATTAAAAAATGAATAAACGCAATTTTAATTTGCCGATCATAAGATTATAAAGAGAAGAATAAGAAGAAATAAAAAAATATATATATATATTTTTTTTAAGATCATATTTAGAAATAATAACCGTCGTAGACTTTTTTTATCTAGCGTTTTAGAATGAAATAGCCAAAAATAGTTATTTTTGCCGTAAGCATCATTTTGGCAATTGACTTTTACTACGAAAATCTCTAGGTTGAGGCTCCGTCCAATTGAGAGGGATGTAATAACAAAAAGAAATTCATTTCCTCATTCTTACACTATATTTTCACACGCACAAAAAAAAACATTAAAAAAAAAAAAAGCCTACCAAATTTTCTCTAAGAAATGGCAAGAAATAATGTGGATCTTCCCTAATCAGATTTTTTTTTTTATCTCTACTACCTTGATATTGTTTTTTGCCTTAAATTATCTCTTTTAGAGTAAATTACACGAATCGTCCCTGATCCAAGTGGCAAATTATACGTTCAGTCTCTATTGTTAAAAATTAACTCGGACCGTCCTTCAAGTATTTAAATACTACCCGTCCAGTCTCTATTGTCGTTAGACGTTAGTTTTCTCCGTTGGGTGCCTACGTGCTTTGCACGCAAGGGTATTTTCGTTATTACATGTCGCGTGTATATTATCAACTGCGTATAACGTAATATCCAGTTCACCCAAACGTTGCATACCCAGTCCCCGATCAAAACCTTTCTCGTCTCGCAAAAACCCTAGTTTTCCATCAAGAGTGAAGATGAGTGGGTGGCGAATACGACCACAGATGGATGAAATCGATTTGGAAGCAATTTACGGTAAGGAAAACCAACCATTTTATGCTGTGTTCTTGATCATTTTGTCTATGATTTTGAAAATATTGTTGTTTTTTGTTGTGAAGGTGGGAATCGAACTATTTTTAGTATACATTTGCACTATGGAGGAGAGTTTACCAAATTTCCCGGGAGAAAATACATCAAGGGATAACACAAATTTGTGGACTTGATCGACAATGATTTGTTCTCTATTCACGACATTGATGATATGATGGAGGAGTTGGGTTGCGTTGAAGAAGGTAAAGTTATGTATTATCACTTTAAACGACCATTAAGGGATTTAGATTTTGGGTTGTTTGCATTGGGTAGTGATCAAGATGTCAACCACTTAAGTTCCTACATTGCTTCACACAAGCTTATAGAAGTGTGAACAGAATTTTGGCGTACCAACTTGGATACATATGCTATGTCTCCTAACCCTTCAATACTCAGGATTGAAGAGATTGTTGAACCCCCTTCTTGTTCTAGAAGGTTGTGTCTCGAATGGTTTGACACAACCATAGTTGAACCCCATATTTTAGAACCAAGAATGCAAACCCCTACAGTAGAACCTAACATGGAATCCCCTAGTTATATTGATGTTGCACATGTTTCACCCCTAGAATGGAATCCCATATTGAAGTTGATTCTGTGAAAGAACCAAACATGGAACCTCCTATTATAGAACCCTTTAATGAAGCCCTAGGTGAATCAACTGATGGTTAGGGTAGTGGAGATTCAAGTGATAGTGATGATAGTGATTTCATTATGGATAAGGATAAGTTGTTGGATGATCCTGAGGTGGAAACGCATGATATCTACCTCAACATTGATGATAATTTGGAGTGGTTTGGTGATGCCCTTATTTTAACAGAGAATGTAGTAATGTCTAATGAGGAGATGGAGGTGATCTACACTGATGTTCTACAGTCTGAGTCATCATCTGATGAAGGGAAAATGAGTAAAAGAAGAAATAAAATTTGGGTTGCTGAAAGGGTATATATAAATGATGCAAATCAAGTGAGTGACCCTTTCAACATACTTCAAACATTCTCAAGTTCTCAGGAAGCAAAACACAGAATTTACTTGCATGGAATAGAGACAAGAAGAGAATTCGATATTATCAAGAATGATAAAAATGGGGTTAGGGTAGTATGTAAATGAACAATACCAGATATGGGGATACTTGAGACGTCTTGCATAGGTGGACCAAGTAAAACTAGTTGGAAAGGTGGGCCAAGTCAAAGGAACATAAATGGTGGACCCAGTCAAATGGGTGAAAAAGGAGGACCAAGTAAAAAGAAAAGTGCAGTGAAAGTAGATGAAAGCAATAAGTGCCATTGGAAACTTTTAGTAAGTAAATGGAAAAAGGATGATGATTGGATTCTGAAAACGTATGAAAAGGAGCCTAAATGTCTCCAAACAAGAAAAATCAAAGCTTGAAATTACAAATTTCTTTCCAAGTAAATTCTTGAGCAGTTGGAGTCTAACCCATAAATACCAATCAGGGATTTAAAGGAGCAGCCAGAGAGGAAATACCAAATTTAGATGTCGGACATGAAAGTGTTTAGGGAAAAAGCAAAAGCCCTAGAAACTATTAGGGGTGATTTTGGGGGTCAATATTCTATACATAGGGACTATCTACTGGATGTTCAAAGTCGAAACCCAAACACCATAGTCAAGCTTTAAATGGACAATTCTTCCAACCTTACATCAGATACTATGATTTTTAGACGTATATATATATATATATATATATATATATATATATATATATATATATATATATGTCTTAGGCCGCTAAGACAAGGATTTGCAGTAGGGAAAGGGACATTCTTGGACTGGATGGTGCATTCATGAAGGGTACCGACCCTGGTATGATTCTAACTACAATGGTAAGTAGTTTTATACATGGATTAACTACTTAATCTTACATATGACTTATAGATTATAACCTAATTTGTTCTTACGGTTATATGGATTAGATGGAAACAATTCCACTTACCCAGTGGCATATGGTGTTGTAGAGCCTGATAACTACAAATCATGGACATGGCTTCTAAAAAATCTTGGTGATAATTTGGATTTGACTACCAATTCAAACGTCACATTTATAATTGATAGGTAGAAGGTAATAGTATACACAGTTTAACAACTTAACCTTTATATTATTTGTACTAAGTAAATAAAATTGATTGTGTTTATGTTGTAGGGTGTTTTGCTTGCGATTGCAAAATTGTTTTCGTGTGCAAAAAAATGATTTTGCCTTCGTGATATCCATGAGAATATGAAGAGGAAGTGGAGGGGCAAGGAGTTTAAAGACTATCTCTGGAAGTGTGCAACAACATCAATTGTGCAACAATTCAATCTTTTAATGGTGGAAATGAAGAAATTGAACAATGATGCATATGAATGTCTTAAAGCCATTCCACCCCAACATTGGTCCAGGTCTCACTTCACATGTTAGTTATACATGTTAGAATTCATCAACATTATTGATTTTATGCATCTTAAAAGAATACTGAAACTTATGATGCATGATTGTTATTCTACAAGAAGAGCACATTGTGATGCATTGTTAAACAACCTTTATGAGACATTAAATATCAAACTTGTCAAGGGTCGTGACAAACCAATTATAAGTTGCTTGGAATTTATTAGAGAGTACATAATGAAGAAGCTTGTTATTGTCCAAAAAATAACTGACAAATGTTCTGGCCCACTAACTCCTACATCTACCAAGACTATAGAGAAGATCAAATGTGAAGCTGTAGAGTATAGGGATATGTTTTGTGGAAATGGGAAGTATCAGTTTATAGGCGGTGAAGGTGTGGACCAATGTGTAGTTGACATAACACAACATACATGCTTATGTAACAAGTGGGAGGTCCTAGCATACCATGCAAGCACACAATTGCAACTATATGGGATATGAGGAGAAAGAATGAGAATGTTAGGATACCTGAAACATAGGTTCCCCCAACATATTGGTTGAAGAAATGGCAAGAGATGCATGACTTTAAAATTGAACCAATTAATAGGAGGATGATGTGGGAAAAAAGTCCTTGTCCAACAAAGTTACTACCACCAAAACATCATGTGCGTATTGGTAGGCCAAAAAAGAAAAGAAGAAGATCAGCTATTGAAGATGATAGTGCTACAGGGACTAGAACAGTTAGATGTTCAAAGTGTGGAAATGGTGGGCATAATGGTAGGAGGTGCAAGGGGCGGGCAGTGGGAGGATCACAAGCCAGTGGTAGTGATGTGTCTTACACCCCAAAACCGAGAACGGTGGAAACGTTCTAGGGCGGAGGACATCATGTAATGTATCACAACAATGCAAAATAGTAAACAAGCAACAACATCATCCATTGCATTAATAGTATAAGTTTCAAGTACATATGAATTCTTTCATAGTATAAATCTACATAATGAATATTCAAAATAAAAGATGAGTCTTGACTGCTCCGTCTTCACATGACCTGGTCATCGTACCTGTCTTATTTGTGACCTGAGAATACAAGTTATTTTGAAAGCGAGTATCAACAATAAAGCTGGTAAATTAATAAGTATTAATGTGTCTTTGATATAAAAAATTGGAAAGTAAAGACTTGTAAACATTTGGAAAAAGTATGTATAAGTATGAACTGTTTAAAAGTAGTTGAAAACGTTTGAACACCCTAGCAAATCCTATGATTTCTATTAGTATAAAGAGTAGTCTTCTACTAAGACCTAACTGTTTTGAAAGTACACATCACTGTAAATATGACGGTTTTTCCCTGTTTAACTATTGTTATAAAACTATAGTCTACCACATCGATTATGTAAATGTATCACAAAATAAAGGTAGTAATATAATTATGTAAGTATTAGTCTACCTCATCGTTTGTGCGAATGTATCACAAAGTGAAAGAAATGAACTAATAACTTAATTATTATCCTTTGGTACTAGGATAAACACGACATAGGAATTACCAAATAATATTAATTGTAGTCATCCAAAGATGCACATTTACCTCTGTTGCTAACAGCTGGGTGTAGGAGTAGTTAGTCACCTATAATGGTGTCAACCGTAGACATCCGTAGATGTGCATTTACCTCTGTAGCTAACAGAGGTTATAGGATTGGTTAGTCCCGCAAAGTATCGTTTTGTACTAGGATAGATAGATCTAATCTATATGTATAATATGTAATAGTATCTCATCATATAGTATCTAGGTAAAAGTATCCGTATAAGAGGATTCATGTAAACGTATCTATGTAAACGTATTCATGTAAGCGTATCTATGTAAACGTATTCATGTAACATGTAATGTATTGTATAGACTCATGAATGAACCGACTCTTGTGTGATTCCTTGTAATTGGTATTGTAAATAGTATCTCCTAACTACACCTATTATAGTTACTAGTAATGTACGTGTATAACCTGAAGTATCCCTTTGCTACCCAAAGGTACTGAACTGACTGAAGAAAAGCTTTTATGTCTACATATGTATACATGATATATAACTAATATTTAGACGACATTCAGACGGATACCCAAAATACCCCATAGCCACATCCCAACGAGGAAAAGGAAATAGAGTGAGTTAGCCTCCCTAAGTCCTTTAAACATCACTTATATAACTATACATATATGGGCATGCATGTGATAATATAAAAGAATAAAAGAAGTTTTGTAAAACCTTTGAAAAAGATTAATATCTAACTAAAGATCGACTTGATGTCAGTTTATAAAACGATTGAAAGTATTTTGTTTGATAAGACAGTTTAAGTATAAGGAAAACCGTTGTTTGAAAACACCTTTGTAACAGAGTTTGAAAGGAACTTACAGTGTGTAAGACATTTTGATAAAGAGTTTTAAACATCTAAAAACGTTTAAGAAAGTCATTTGAAGTAATATGTTTATTAAAACTGCTAAACGTGTAGTAAATCCATTTGTACACTACTTATAAATCCCATATGATTGATTAATTAACAAGTATAGCAAAAGAGTGATGTTTTTCGTACGAGGTTAATCGTATGTTTGTAGTGCCAAAGATGGACACATATACATACCATATAAGTAGAGTGTTTCACTACTAGCAAAACATCCTTTTATGACGCTCATTGCGCATCGTAAAAGGCTCAGACGACATGCAAATGCGCGTCAAGGAAGACTCTGTCATAAAGAGGGACGACTCGCTTTTGCGCGTCGTCTATAGACGACGCACATTTACGACGCTCATTTACGATGCGCAATTACGACGCGCGTTTACGACACACAATGCGTATCAAGGATGGCCCTATCATAAAGGAAGACGACATGCATTCGCGTGTCGTAACCTCACGACGCACGTGTTAATGACACACAATGCGTATCAAGAAAGCCCCTGTCAAGAAAGGCCATGTCATAAATGAAGATGACACACATTTTTGCGTATCGTAAGTTTAAATGTTTAAAAGAATATATTTAGATATTTATATATTTTTAAATTAAATTTGCATTTAATTTCATAATAGAAATAAAATACCATATACAAAACATACAATCCATTGCATAATATAAAATAAAATTTCATACTCCAAAAATAAAATAAATTGCATAAATTATAATGTCATACAAAGAATCATTCAAATGTTAAACAAAAATAATACATTGCTAACATGGGCTATACATTCCTATAAAACTAACAAATAATCATACAACTATGTTTCTTACTAGAAAGCTATGCCAAACATGATTACAAGTCTCCCTTAATCTTGATTACTCACCTGCTTAAGTAGAATGCTGTTGTTGAGAAGGTTACCTAGCAACAGAGAAAAACACAACACCTCTCCCACAATCACAACATCATTTACAGAAATAGGGTTGTCAATTACTTTCATGAAGACTTTCATTCAATCACAAAAATACTAAACAAAAGGGTGAAAAAAATAACTTACTTTTGATAAGTTGATCTCCCTTAGAGCAAACACAACTAAAGCATTGAACAAGACCCTAATATTGGAATACACACTTTGAGACATGAATACGAGTAGATTAACCTGGATACATAGGAATTAAAGATGGAAGGTGCCAGAAGTCCGGGGGGCATTGGGTTGGTTCCTTCCCACTTGCACACACCAAGTATCTAAAAACAAATAAAATTTTCTAAGTTTTTTTCAAATATAAACTAAAGCATATATTCTATATAATACACTCATACAAAGGAAAAAGAAAAAAAAAACAAGAAAAAGTTGATGTATTACAGAAAACCATGTTTTGCCCCATAATGGGATGGTGGTGACATTGCCATAATCTCTCTAGTTGGACCCATAAAGCATTTGCAAGAAGGTAGCTTACAAATATAACAAACAGCCATAAAGGATTCCTAACCAAAAAAGAAAGAATTTAACATCAGTGGAGAATAGAAGACTGGTTTTATTTAATGTAAAAAGACAAAAATAACCTCAAAAGAGTCATGGTGACACATGTATAATAATAATAATAATAATAATAATAATAATAATAATAATAATAAATCATGACGATCATTGGGCTCAATAAGGGGATCAAATATTTGAAGTCAACCCATGGAAAGCTTTTGGTCATTTATTGAAGAACATTATATAGATATAAAGAATTGGGTTGATATGGTCTAACAAGAGAATATATTCCATCAGAAATCATGTACATGGTAGAGAATTGGAAAGACAAAAGGGGAAGAAAGAACATCAACAATTCAGTTCCATTCACAACTAAATTATCATAGGCTACCTATACATACACACTCTTACTAAAACGAGTAATGCACATCAATTAACGCAGATAACAGAACATGAAAAGTGGTTCTTACATGAAGAGAAGAGCACTCTTCTTAGGTTTTGGATATAATGTTTCAACTGTCTTGCTCTCCATATCAACTCTCCTTATAGCATGATTCTTTCATCATATGAAAAGTAAAAACCATAATAAGAATATATCCCCATCAATATATTTGTAATTATTCATTTAAAAAAGAATACCTCTAAGTCAATTGTCCTGCTCTCCATATCAGCTCTCCTTATAGCATGATTCTTTCATCATATGAAAAGTAAAAACCATAATAAGACTATATCCCCATCAATATATTTGTAATTATTCATTTAAAAAAGAATACCTCTGAGTCAACAAAATAGAGGAAATCATCCTCATTGTGATAAAACAAAACAGCATGGCGAATTATTTTGGAAGATTCAAACTCTCCATCTTCAAATCCAGGTGAAGATCCAATCAGAAAAATATATATGTTTATATTATTATCATAAGCTTTTAGCTGCTCAAAATTGAAATGCTATGTGAATTACAAATGGAAATCCTTACATACACAATCTAAGATTTTTCCATTGTCATCAAACGCAATTATACGGTGGTGATTTGTGTCAGAAAGAAACAACTTGTCTCAAGAATTTCAAAAACCAAATCCTTGTCATGCAAGAGTAGAGAACCTTCCATACCTTTAAATATTATGTAGCCCATTTTATCAAAAATCTAAAAACAACAAACAAGGATATAATCATATAAACAATACAACAAAAAGCAATTGTTACTGTTTTATATGTGAGATCTATGTTTATAAATTAATCGTGTTCTTTAATGTAGCAGCAACATCACATGAAACCAACACCGTTTCTTGTTGTTATATGCTATCTCCCATTGTCACACATGAGAAGTTCCTCAATGTTGTCTCCAAGCTGCATCAAAATAAAATTCAAAGATTATTTCAGAAATAGGAATATGGGAGTAGAAAGAAAGAAACATTGATAAATATGTAAGAGATAAAACTAACCTGAGTTATGAACACCATGTCAGATGTCAAAGAAAGCCTTTCAATCTTTAACTGAGAAATATATTCCTGGATTAGGACATTGATCTTTGCACTGGGCTCTTCCAAACTTTCCTTGATGGGAATAGGAACACAGTCCAAAAGCTTTTAAGGTTCCATCTTTGCATCTTGTCTTACTGTTACATATTTGAACTCCTCACTCAGTGAAAATAATCTACAAAGCTCAATACCTCAAATAAGTACTAAAATTATAAGATTAACATTTTGGAACAATTTTTTTTTGTAACTTATGCTTCTATATATTTCTACTTTTATGTCGTGTGATTACTTTCACTTGAAGCTCTCTGAACTAAAGAATTGTGTTGTGCATCAACAGAGCAGACATCTGGTCATTTGGAATCACAGCACTTGAACTCGCTCATGGGCATGCACCATTCTCTAAGTATCAACAAATGAAGGTAATTCTTTTGTTAAAATGACCCTTGTACCCTTATACCCCTAATCCCTCATGTCTCGTTTTTTTTCTGGTTTTTCTCATGACTCTGCAAAATGCACCACCAGGTCTTGACTATGAAAATAGCCACTTTTCTATCATACTTCACCAGATTGTTTTTATCTAGTATTGTAGCTGCAGAATGGACTTGCAAGAAACAGTAAATAGCAGTATTTTTAGACAGTATTTTTGCAGAATAAATATTTATGTGGCGTAAAAAAATATACCAGATCAAATCTCCCAACAAAAGCATTACATTGAATTTTTGGGATATAAAGATGATACCTGAAAATAAATATTTCTCTTCGCATTTGTTCCTTTCAATCTCTGCCTCTCCTATATCTCTTTCCACAGAATTTAACTCTCTCTTCATCCTCTCTGCATCTCTCATATTCATAGCATGTTCTTCCACTTTCTTCTTCAACTCTTCATTCTCCTCACATGTTATCTGTATCCGTATCCAAAACGATTATCAGAATCACCCCATGTAAAACTATGAATCTGTGAAATGGAAATGTACTGACAAAGACCTAAAACTAGCCAAAATAAACATGGTATCTGTATCCAAAACGATAAAGGATTCTCTAAAACCGAAGCAAAGACAAAAACTAGCCAAAATAAACACACAAACCTGTCAAATGAAGTCATGTCACTGTCAGTTTAATAGGAGTCGGAATAGCAGGCATCGTGACGTCATCGATTGGCGGTGCTCATGGATGGTCTGGTGGTCGGACGGAGAGAATAGAGATGAAGGAGGGTAGGAAGCGAGATCTAGGGTTCGAGTGTGAGAGAGAACTATTATTGCATCGTCGGTGATCAGATTTCATTAGACGCACTCAAACTCAAACTGAAATCGGATCCTTCGAAGGCACCAGTGGGAGGTACATGTTCTCCCTAGATCCTGAACTCCCACCGGATTTCTTCCCGGACTTCATGCTCTTCCATGGGTCGACTTTCTTCCCTTTGCCACTCTAATTACACAGACGTAACTGCGAGAGTTGGTCCTTGAAAATTTCAGTCTCGAGTGATTCGGAGGTGGGACCACCGGTAGAGGAAGAATCGTCGAGCGTTTCTTTCGTTTTGAAGAAAAAGGTTAGGGGCAGCGGTGCGTGGGATCTGATTAGGGACAGAGGGATTGGCGTTCCGATCTTGAACTGGTATCTTGATATGGTGAAAGTGTGTGCTTAGGTTTCCAGATGCACTCCAAACTCTTAAAGCTTATCGGGTTCGATGTTGGTGGTGGCAGCTTAGGGCTTAGAGAGAGAGAGAGAGAGAGAGAGAGAGAGAGAGAGAGAGAGAGAGGTAAAGGAAGACGAGCTGAATTAAAAGGATGTGCTGATTCAAAAGGATTATTAGGGTTCTATTGTAGGATTCTAGTGTGGATTGAGTTTTTAAGGCTTAATGGTGGTGGCAGTGGCGATGGCTTAGGGTTTACAGAGAGAAGGAAGGAGTGAATGTAAAGTGAGATACCGAGGAGTGAGGGTAGAAGCAGGGTTCTTCAAAATTTTGAATTTCAGAAGATTTCGTTTTCCCCCTTTAAAACGCTCGTTTAGGCAAAAAAAAAAATATATATATATATATAAAGCGACACATTTAGAGGACGCACACTTTATGAAAGGCACCCTCCGCATTTCTTTTTTTTTCTTTTCTTACACTAATATTAGGGCACGCACAAATGTGTGTCCACTATCCTTCAAATTTTGCAAAACTGACAATATTTTTTAGGTCACACACCAATGCGCGTCCTTTATCAGCGAGTGTCGTTGTTTGCACGTCATTAAAGGGCTGTTTTCTATTAGTGTTTGATTTATATATATAACAACATTTTTCATTTCAAAACATATGATGTTATCGTGATATATTCTGCATACGAAAGTTTCCCTATAATAGTTATAAATCACCTATGATTCCATTGATAAAAAAAATGTATAACGAAACTTTATATAACACCCGATAATAATCGTGTGTTTTACTTGTATTCCCCCCTTTAAAAGCATATAAAAGCACATATAAAGCACTTAAAAGTGTGGATTATAGGGGTATGAACTCACTTGATTGATTGAAGAAACCGAGACGAAACTGAGCAGAACTTTTACTCGAGAAAGCGGATTTCTTGGGATTCTCGGGAATCTCGGGAGTGTAAAACTTCCTTCCAAACTTGCATATGACAATCGGGACTTTGGGATGACTCTGAGGGTTTAAACGTAGAGCTTCGACACGAGAAAGAGAAGAAATGAGCAAATAACCCCGGAACCTCCGCACCCTTTATATAGGGTCTGAATCCTCGGATTACGCTGGGCGTAATCTAGATTAGACCGGTGACTCCTCCTCCTATGGATAATATCGGTATTTATAATTAAATTAAATATTTTAATTATTTAATAAAATTCAAAAATTCATATCTTCCTCATACGAACTCCGTTTTCGACGTTCTTTATATTCAGGCGTAGGTAAGACTACGATCTACAACTTTCGTTTAAACTCCGTCGGCTAATTTCGATTTTATTTTTAATATTATATTTTTAATAGGCCAGGACAGGAAAAGTCCGTTAAAATTCCATAACTCCTTCATCCGATGTCTGTTTTCGCCAGACTTGTTACCGTTGTAATACGCTTGATGAGATCTTCGATTCTCGTTTAGGTCATGTTGGTTAAAAGCTACTCGATCTCGATTTCGAGTTTTTAGCTGTCTACTACTATGTCTGAAACTTCGAAGAATCATAACTTCCTCATATGAAGTCAGATTTGGGCATTCTTTTGATGTATGCTTACGGTTTTGGGATATCTAACACTTTCATTTAGATACCTATGGCTAAAAATTATTGTATTGAAACTTCACGTTTTACGTCTATCAGTGTTGCCGATTTTTGCTGCGAATCTTAGATTGGTTATAACTTCTTTGTTATAACTCAGACTTTAGTGTTCTTTATATGCACGACAACCTTGATACGATTCCTATAACTTTATTTAACCCAAATAAGATTTTAGGAAAGTTAAATTTTTTACCTATATTTGACTGGTGTTACATTTCACTGTCTTGAAATATTGGGTTGTCACATCATCCCCCCGTTAGAGGGAATTTCGTCCCGAAATTAGTGTTTAAGCAGAATTGATACCACGCTACGAATTTAAGTTTTATTTGATCCTCGCGTTCCCAAGTGAATTCAGATCCTCGCATGGCCTTCCAGCAAACCTTTCACCCTCAGGGAAACGACTTTGTTTCTTTCGTTTGCATTCACTGTGGTGATAACTCTTCCTGGTCAGATGTGCGTTGCATGTTCTCGTGCCTGTGAATATTATACTCCTTAGAAGTGTTGACTCTGCTCCTCCTTACTTTGGGAGTAGATAAGGATGTCACTGATGATCCGGCTTTCCCCTTCACGAACTAGACCGATGCTTCACATGGTGAGAAGCTTGGCCAAATGAATCCCCTTTTGAAAAGTTCGTTAAGCTGACTAGAAAAAGCTATGCATCACCGCTGGATCTAGACGATAAGGTGATTTGGCTACTGGGGTAGTCCTTGGAACTAAGTCGATTTTGAAACTCGACTTGTCGCTGTGGTGGAAGAGTTGCGTACTTATGGAATGTTCTGAAATGTTTTTCGCCTCTTGGCTCGTATCGACGATTTGTGCACGAAACTGGTATTGTGAGGATCGAATTGAGTCAAGTTGTATGATGATATCGGACTTACATGGAAATAAAGGCATTAGATTTCATCATAAGGGTGTTACAGACAGAACACAACAGTGCAACTTTTAACAGAGTTATAGTACTTCAGTTTTACTACAAGACTATTGCTGCGAACAAGGTATACTACAAAAAGCAAGTATACGCAGCACGAAGGTCCCCTATACTGATGGGGTCACACAAAAGATAAGACTCTAGTTGCACTAGTTTTAAACATGTTTAACAACATACTTACTACTGACGATTGGAAATGAACCCTTATTATAGTCGGGTCCTTCATTGCCTTTTTACATTCTGAGGTCAAACTCCTTCTGTTCCACTGTCATTCTTCTTTGTTGGGCAGTCCCTCTTGAAGTGTCCCATTACCCCACATAGATGGCATATCCGAGAAATTTCGTCATTGGGGGTTGAAGTAATGTGTTACATCCGAGTCCTGCAGAAGCGGGTAGTGTGTCCGTTGTTATTGCAGGTGTTGCAGTGTAACAGACAACAACTACCTAGGTGATGGAAGCTGCACTTATTGCAGTTTGGTAGGTTTCCAGCATACTGTCTGGCTGGGTTAGAGGCAATTGGGATACCAGAAGGGATGGTAGTAGGAGGTACAGATGTCATGGCTACGAAGGTTACCATAGGTTCTTGTCTTTTGTTCACCCCTTGGGGTGATTTTCCTTTGAATTTATCCCAGAACTTTCATTTTCTATTCTTGGGCTTGAGATTCGGGGTGTCGTGGTATTTTGTTACTCGCTGAGGTACTTTATTGTTACTTGGATTGGAAGTTTTGCTAACAATCTTGCTAACATTTGCGTTGTTAGCGTTAAGGTGAGTCAGAACAGCTGTCACGGCAACTGAGACTGCAACTTGAAAGGTAGTTGCATTTATCTGAAGAGTTGGGGTTTGGTTGATGGGTTGATCACTTTTCTTCGGCAACATGATTATGTTACACAGAAAGAAAACGAATTCGTGAGCGGATATGGTTGAACCTAGATGTAGTTTGATCATTCATGTAAAGAATCGACATATGTTCTCGTGGTTTTGACCTACATCCCTATGATGCAGTCTTAGTAACGAGTAGAAGTAAGTTCGTAGAATGGTCTTAAGACGTTTGTCGTATAAGCCGGGGTATTATTGGTTGGTGAATAATATGATCCAACCTTTAAAAGAGGCTTGAAAATGATTTCGCAGTATAATTACCCTAGTCCAATAACTTGACCAGAGTGGGTTTAAGATAGACTCCAACGATAGTATAATGAAAGTATTTGAACAAAGAGTAATACGGAAGTTATCCAACTATCAATATAATCGATGTTTAAGATGTAATAGGTTTGGGCAGAGTAACTTTGTAGAATGTCTTACATCATATTCGGAGTAGAAAAGTCTTTGACAGCATAAAGTCCTAACTAAAAGTACTTATAGTACAAGGTAGTCACATGGAAAAGTGCTACACAAAACTTAGATAGGAACACGGTTCTTTTTAAAACAAAGATGTAAAGTAAAGTATCTCCTACTGGCGACTGTCACCCTTATGGTGAACCCTTAGTTCGGCTATCTGACGTTCCATATCAAGCAGGTATCTTTCGTACACCCTCTAGTGTACTTGGAGCTCTATGACTTCGGCTCGGGTTTCAGCTAGTGCTTGCAGCAGGGTCTCATGGTTTCTCTCAGATCTCTCACTTGTGCTCAAAGCGATTGGTGCGAATGGTATGCATTCTTTCATTGGTATTTACCTCTTCGATACATTGGAGAGCCGTCCTGCCCTGAATTTCGTTTCGAGAAACTCTACGAATTAGATTGGTAGAAATCTGTCCACTGGGCTCCCTTCGTTTACGTGTAGAAGCTTCGGTCTCCATTAAATGGCATAGGTTGATCTTTCTCTTTGCTCCATGTTTCCAAGCATTCTAACCAAGGAGGCGTCGGTCCATGAAAAGCGGGATGAGGGTTAGGATTTAGAAATGGAGCTACCGGGGGTAGGTTCTCAACCTCGGGTTTGGAGTTATCAACAATTAAAAGGTTTTCAGCATGGTGATCATTCAAAGGGATTGGATGATCGTTCTCAGGTTCTTCTTCAAACCATTCAATATTGCCTTCGTTCGGAAGGTACGGGTTGCCGTGGGGATGGAGTCCAGCCATGTTATCTACGCGAGAATTTGGGTAAGAAACTAATTATTAGATGAGCTATCTAGATAATTATTCAATAATCTTCATTAGTTACATCATTATTTGTAAAGTGCATACCAGTTATATGTAATCAAAACAAGATAGGCCTTCGAATAAGTAACCTCAACTCCAAATTCACAAAGAACCGGGGTAAAGCAGAATTTCACAGATTCTAAGTCTATTACATCCTAATTACATATAACCTTAGTATATCCACTTAGCAACTATCAACTTAGAAATGAAGATCCTTTTTAGTTCTCAAGTAAGTAATTATAGTAACACAAAATAATCCTATAGTATTTTAGACTTAGGTTCTGTCATAATGTTCTCATTGTGGTAGTGTTGGT